TACATCTGCTTTGGCAAAAATAAATAATTCTTCACACACATGCTTCAGCAAAACAAGAGAAACGTGGAGGAAGGAGCAGGTGCAAAGTTCTCAGGAGTAATACTGCCCTTATGGGTGGGGTGTTGGGCAGGGGCGGCAGGTGCAGGAGCCCCAGCCATGACCGCCCCACTCCAGGGTGGGGTCTGGGAAGGAGAGATTAAGGCACAGAGAGGGGAGCCTTGTGGGGAGGAGTACTCCACGTGCCTGCCTCCTTAGTGCAGCAGGCGAGTGGTCGGCTGACAGCAAAGCGCCCCCTGGCAGCAGGAGGGGCCCCCATCTCCTCACTCTGCAGCGGGGGCGGAGAGGTCGGGAGGGGGATCTCAGCGGGTCCCAGGGCCCCCGTCTCGCCGGGCAGGGGAGCTGGGGGGCCCAGCCCTCAGCACCAGGGTCCCAGGGGGACTGGGGCAGGCTGGAGCAGGGGCGCTCAGCATGGGGGCGACCCAGGCGTGTGCTGTGGGGGCGCGGGGCTGGGACCCGCAGGGGCGCGCATGCGCAGGGCGTCAGGCGGGAAGGCCACGTTGCTGCAGAAGAGACTCAGCAGCAGCTGGCGCTGGCGCTCCTCCCACTTGGCCAGCACGTCCCCCAGCGAAAGGCTGTTGCGCATCCAGCTGGGCAGCGCCTCGCTGTAGGCAACGTAGGACAGCGGCACAGAGGGAAGCGACTGGGCGCGGCGCAGCTCCACCTGCTCGGACAGCCTGTAGGCGGGAGGCACAGAGAGAGGCAGGGCTTTCTTAAGGGCCCCTGAGGCTGCGGGCTGGGGCAGACCTGGCGATGAGGGGCTCACCTGGAGGGCAGGTGGCTGCCCAGCTTCCTTTTGGCGCGCATCATCAGATACTGGCAGATACTGCCTGTCTGCTCCTTCATCCACCGGATGTCCTCCGGGACATCGGGGAGCCACTCCAGCAAGCTGGGGCAGGGGTGCAAGGCACAACCTCAGGGGTTATGACCTCACCCTCACACCCATGCCCACCCCACCCCATCTCCGTCTGTGCCCGGCTTCTGGGACCCCTGACACAGCATCTCTGCACCCCCTCAGACCAGCTGCCTCCCTTTCCACAGGGGTGGCCACCACTCGTGGATGATCCCAAGGTTCGACCCCGTGCATCTCCCCCAGCCCCGCACCGGATGGTGAAGGACACAGCGCTCTCCAGCGGCAGAGTGTAGGGCACCATCATGGCTGTGGCCAGACGCACAGGCAGCATGTTGGAGAGCGTGGTCAGCAGATCACTGGGCTCCATGCAGGCCTCCAGCAGGGCTGTGGGTGTGGTGTGGGAGGGAAGTTGGTGGCGGGTGGGTCAGGGAAGTGGAGCCCAGGACCCCTCTGCTCCAGGGCATCCCCCGCCACCCTGCCAACCCCACGAACCCTCGTTGAGCCTTGAGGGTAGGTGCTCCAGGATGTGATCCTCCCCAGGTGGCTGCAAGTGACCCTTCACTGCAGTCCTCTCCATGGCTGCCTCAGCCTTCTGTGCATCCTCATCCTCAGGGACCTGGGGGCAGGCAGGAGGCAGTGCCAGCAAGGGGTTAGGCCGATTCAGGAGACCTGTGTGGGGAGGACCCAAGAGGCAATCAGCATGGCCGGCCCAGAGGGAATAGCCATGCCAAGCCCACCCCCCAGGCCAGAGGGGCTGGACAAGGCGCTCCCAGCTCCCAGGGCAGCGCCCACGCACCGTTCCGCCGCAGGAAGCGCAGGCCATCCCTGTAACCCTGCTTGCACATCTCTCGAAGCACCTGAGGCAGGGGGGTGCATACATTGGGACAGGGGAGCCAGCCATGCCCTGCTCTGCCTGACAGAGTCCCTGGTGTCTCTGCAACGCCGCCCCCTCCCCACTCCAAGATAACTTGGATCCAGGACCAGACCCAGGCTGGACAGAAGCTGGAGAGCTTGCCCCACAGTGGAGAGGTTGCACAGGCTGTGCCCAGGGGTGGCCACCCACGTGGCTCTCCCCAGCTTGTGGCCAGCAGGGCGGGGCTCACCAGGGGCTCGGGTGGGAACAGGGCCTTGGAGAGGCGGTAGAGGTTGCGCAGGTTGAGCTGGATGCTGGTGTTGGTGACCCGGAGCTCATGGATGTTGCTGGAGCTGTCCTGTGGGCAGATGTCGCTCTCTCCCGAGAAGGGGGACACTGTGATGGTGTTCCTGAGCTCATAGAGTGGCAGGTTGTCGGAGATGCCACCGTCCACGTAGCGCTGGGGCAGGGACATGGGGCCACGCATGGAGGGGCCTGCAGGGCGAGCTGACGGCTCCACCCAGCAGCTATTTCACTTGGTCCTTTCACCCACTGGGCACTGAGCAGATGGCCAGTGACGGGGTTGGGGAGGGCAGCCACAGGAAGTGTGCATCTGCACCGACTGGCCCAGCTCTTGAGTAACTCCGGGGGAAGTGAAGCAACAGGCAGTGGCAGGAGTGACGGGCTGGGCTGGGCTGGGGGCACAGATGGCTCTCCTCCCCACCTTGTCCCACAGCCCCCACAGGAAAGGTCCTCAGGGGATACTTACCTCCCCCTGGAGGGAAGGAGGGATGAGGCCGCAGTACACAGGGATGAAGGTGCTGCACACATTGGCCTGTGGGGCAGGGACAGAGATAGGGCAGTGAGCAAGGGCCTCGGGGTCCCTACTGCACCCCCAGTGCAGCCCACCAGGGCCCACCTGGATGAGCTCCTCCTTGGAGTTGAAGTGGGTGATAATGACGTTCTCGCCGTCCGAGACGCGGGTCAGGGAGATGCCCAGGCGCCCGCTTGCACGCTCGTGGCCATCAGCAGGTAGTATCTTCAGCAGGCAGCCACGGATGATCTTCACCAGGTTGAAGGAGGGATGCAGTGGGCCCAAGAACCGCTTCCGGGCCTCCTTTGACACCTCAATGATGTTTGCACCTGCCTCCCCTGGAGCAGCAGGGCCAAGGGTCAGGGGCCAGCACTCGGACTCAGTACACTCCCCATGCCTTCATGCCCAGCATCCACGGCACTGAGACTCATGGCATCTACCCTAGAGGACTCTGAGGCCACTGTGGGGCCTGGCCACAACTGGGGCTTTTGCCACCTGCTCCGGGGCATAGAGTGGCTCCTGGGAGGGCAGACCGTGGCCCTAGCAGTCTGCCCTCTGCCCAGTATTTCCCAACTGCCTGCCCTGATCCATGAGTCACTGGGCCTGGCCAGACATGACACCCGGCCCACTTGGGACGAGTAGGAAGCAGAGGCTCACCTCTGACCAGCCTCAGCCTTCTCCCACTTGGCCAGGTCCAGATTCACAGACCCCAGTGCAGCCCAGGGTCCCACAGGACCAGGGGCATGAAGTCAGAAGTCGCGGGGCCCCGTCACCCCTGGGAAAACATGGCTGCATCCCACTGCAGCCAAGAGAAAGCAGTACCCCAACATCCCTCTCGGGGCCCCATGGGCACTGGCCTAGGACGAAGTCAGAGCCAAGGCAGGCCCAGAAGCAGGCGGGAGCTGAGGACCTGACCCTCCTCCAGGACCACCACCTGGGTCAGGAGTGGGGCAGTGTGAGGCCAACAGGGGCTCCAGCTGCCCAAGATAACTCCCACTGGTGAGAAAGGGGTTTCTTGGGAGTGGGGTGGGGGAGGCGCCAAAGAAGCCCTGGCGTCAACTGGGTACCAAAGACCTAGGGGTGTCTTGAGGCCAGCAGGGGGTCTGAGAAGCACTTGGCTGAAGTTCAGCCTCCACGAGGGAGGGGCAGGGCCACGGTGATGAGTTCCCGGGTCCCAAGAACATACATTGAGCTTTCCTGCCACCCCCCCCCCAGGGCAAAGGGCACCGGCAAGATCCCTGGACAGGCTCCTGCTGGGTGGGGCACTCCAGAAGCTAATGACCCCTCTGTCACTTGGGCTGCCCTAGTAGGCTGGGGGCCGGGCAGCATTCCCAGGACTCCTGAAGCACTCTGTGTGCTGTAAACACCATCTGCAGGGCCTGCCAGAAGTGTGTGGGTGGCGGAGCCCCACTAAGGGGCTGCAGAGTCCCAGAGCACCTCTCACCCTACAGAGTGGGCAAAAATGGCTGGCCACAGCTGTGGACACAGGCCCACAGTGGGCCGTGGGAGGACGGGAGAGAGCTTGCGCTGGCCATGCTCAGGCCTGACATGCCACTCCTCTTCTAGGGGCCCTCGGGAGGCCACAGTGCCCAGACACGCTCTTCAGAGGCCAACCCCATACCCAGCACTGGTCTGGAATGGTAGCCCCGGGACACAGTGACCGCTGGCACTAGGTCCGATGACGGGGCAGGACAGCTGAGGGCCCTCCCCCAGCTCACGGTCCCTCCCACGAGCTATTTTCACTTTCCAATGAAATAGCTAGCGCTGCACCTGCCCACCCCCAACTTTTGCGCCCGAGAGGCGGGCCCTAGGCGGCAGCCTCAGCCCAGAGGCGCGCCGGGCCCTACCCCAATCCCACGGCACCTTCGGAGCAAAACAAGCCAGGCCCCGCCCCTGGCCGGAGCCCGGGGTTTTTCCCTGGGCCCCGGTCCCGGGCAGAGACCCCCCTCCCTACGGCCCCCGCGGCCCAGTCCGCTGCCCTGTGCAGACGGGTGGGGGGGCGCTTCGCTCTCCCCAGGGGCATCCGCACGGCCTCGCCGGCCCCGCTCACCCAGGCAGGCCCCGGTGACCAGCACGGTGGCCGTGAGCGCCCCAGCCGAGGCGCCGTAGATGTGCGTGGCGTTGGCCACCAGGAAGGGCGAGTGCTCGAGGAGGCAGGAGGCCACGCCGACGTGGTAGACGCCGAGGAAGCCGCAACCTGCGAACGAGATGTTCCACGTCGCCTCCTTGGGGAACATCGCGGCGTCCCGCCGGGCTCCGAGGCTCCGCGGGCGGCCGGCCTCGCTGTGCACCGCGCGCTCGCTGCTCGCTCTGGAGAGGGGGCCAGACCCCCGCGGTTGCTCTAACTCGGGGTCTCCGCCGGCGGGGTTGGAGACGCTGCGCGGGGAGGTGACGGAGGCGGTGAATTTACCGGGGGGGGGCGGGACTGAGCCGGCACGCGCGGCCAGTCGGGGCCGGCGGGGAACGGCCGCGCCCTCGGGGCGAGCCCTGAGACCACGCCCCTCCCCGGAAGTCTCCCTGGGCCCAGAGCCCGGGCCCGGAGCCCCCGCCCCGGCCCCCGAGACCTCGGCCCCCCAGCCCCTCCCGCCCGCTGTCCAGGCCACTGGGCCCTGAGACGCCGGCCCAGCCAAAGGCACTGGCCAGGCCTGGACGAGAATCCATGCCCCTGGCCTCTAGCTGCCTTCCCCCACCCCGAACCATCGTGGGCGGTTGGGAGGGGACACACAGTGGCCCAGAGGTGTGGGGACCGGGGTCCGGATACCCGCAAAGGTGGGGCGATGGTGTCTAGGCAGCAACCGCCCCCTCCCTCGGGGGTCTGCTTACAACACCCACCCTGGACACTGAGGAACTCGCTGAGGGGCAGGGACTCGAAGGACCTACGGACTCATCCACAGACTGACCCATATACACACAGGGCCGCACGGGAACCACACACAGACGACTTCCAGAGAGAACACACCCGTGCCTGCCGCAGACACTGTCCCCCAACAACATCCCGGCCCCCGCCCTCCCCGCTGAGCCGCCCCCTCTACCTGGGCACTGACCTGGTCGACCTGTGTCCTGGCGCAGCTTCTTAGGCCGGGGTGGTCTCCGCAGATGTGACTCGGCCCCATCCGCCGCCACTAATTGCCCCAGCAGGTGGAGCACTCCCGGTGATGTCACCCGCCCGCCTCCTCTTCCGCATTTTTCTCCTGGACTGTGTGGCAGGCCTAGCCCGGCTTGGCTCCAGGGCCAGCCCTGCACCAACCCCACCCCTCAACCAAGTGCTGGTCTATGCTGGGGGGTGAGTAGCCAGTGTGCATTTGTCTTTCCAGAACACTCACCCCCAGGCAGGACCCAGCTGGTGCCAGAGCTGTGGCTGGGGGCTGCCCCACCCAGGCCCAGGCTGAGAAGCCAGAGCAGGGCCTCCCCAGGACACAGCCATCTGGGGTCAGGCCACCCAGTCCTCAGCCTCTGTGCTCCAAGCCACCCATACTTATCACCATGTTTGCTGGCAAAGATTTGAACAGTGAGCAAAGTCAACACAAACGGGCCTTACTCAGGGTGGGGTGAGTAGGAGAGATGCTTTCCATAAGCTCAAATAAGAACTAAGATGGGGAAGGGGTGTGCGGATACAGTTAACCTGGGACGGGCACAGGGCCACCGTCCTACAGGACATGTAAAGGCCCTGGGCTTGAGGGTTGAGAGGGGAGCTCAAGGCTGGGTGCTAGGAAAGGGGAAAGCAGAGGGGGTGAGGGAATTCCACTGTATGTGGGACCCCAGCCCCCAAGGGCTTTGGAGGGAGGTACAGTACAGAGGGTGTGGCGCTGCTGGAGGCCCTGGGCAGCACAAGCTGAGCCAGGGCACTCAGAAGGCCATTTCTGCAACCCACCCCAAGGAGCAGCCAGGGTCCAGGCCCTGCCCGCTCCCGGGACTGGGGGCCCTGGAGGGTGGCGCCGCCCCAGTGCAGGGAGACCTCTTCTCTCATTTCCACATCATGGCCAAATTGCTTTGGATAGATATACCTCCCTCCAGGCCCCTGGGACCACAAGGCCTGGAGCCAGGAACAAGGCAGCCCTTCCTGGAACCCTGGCTGGCGGTGGGACGTGGCCCTGCCTCCTCCCCGTCAGCACAGATGAGAAACCTTGGTATCTGATGACTCTGCCAGGCAGGTGCCATGCCCCCACTCCCGTGGTGTCCTCTGGCCCACACAGGGCCCTTCTCTTCAGGGTCCAAGGGTGGGACCCTGGCTCCGTTCCTCTGCAGGTCCCTGTGTCCCTGGGCACCCATTGCTCCACCCCTCATCCCATTCACACTTGTGGCCTTGTGGCCCACACCGCTATGATCCCTGCAGGGGTCCCCACTCTCCCTTGGCTCCATGTTCCCCCACCACTCCCAACCCCTCCATTCCTAGTCCCCACTCCTCTAGCAAAAGGGATCCTAAGTCTTCCTTCCACCCCACACACACTCCTGCCCTGGGGCCTCTTCCTGAGGCAAGCCCTCCACCCACCCCACCCCGTGTGGTACTCATTACTTTCTCCAGAGGCAAAGCCTTCAGTGCTGTGGCCTGGAACACAGTAGGAGCACACATCACAGCTAGTTGCCCATCCAGAGCCTTCAGAGGGGGAAGCAAAGTGTCTGCTGAGCGACCTGGCATCAATAAGTAAAGGGAGGGCCCATCTCCTCTGCCCCACATTTTGGGCCAGAGCCTGGCAGAAGAGGCACCAGGCCACCAAAGGACATAGGAGCACACAGCCCAGTATCACTGCCCACAAACCACTTCCACAGCTGGCCAGCAAAGGGGCTGGCCCACCAGACAGCTGGGGACGCTGAGGCTCAGAAGAGCTAAGTGGCTGTCTCAAGTTGCTCAGGGGTTAAGGCGGAGCTGGAGCACTGAAATGAACAATAACTGGGCCCCTGATCCTACAAGGACACGCAGAACCCATACACCCACCACCTCTGGTGCATAACCGGAGGACGTCACCAGTCTTGCAGGAAGTGCTGGTCTCAACTGGCCAGGACCGGAACGCACAGCAGAAACCTAACTGATGCTTCTCAAGTTTTCCTGGGTGTCCCCTGAAGGCCTCACTCCCTGGGAAGGCCCTGGCAGTCCACAGGAGCCAGGACCGTGTCCTAGAAGGCTCACGCCCTCTCCTGAGCCTGTTTAAGGTTTGGCCACACTCAAGGCCCACAGTGGACTATGGAAAACAGTGTGGAGATTCCTCAAACGACTAGGAATAGACTTACCATATGACCCAGGAATCCCACTCCTGGGCTTGTATCCAGAAGGAAATCTACTTCAGGATGACACCTGCACCCCCAATGTTCATAGCAGCACTATTTACAATAGCCAAAACATGGAAACAGCCTAAATGTCCATCAGCAGGTGACTGGATAAAGAAGAGGTGGTATATTTATACAATGGAATACTACTCAGCCATAAAAATCGACAACATA